TTCTCTCATTCTTTTTTTCTCTCCCTTCTCCTATTTATTCTCTCTGCCTGACAGCCCCATCTATCTTTTCTCTGCCCAGCTATTGGCCGTTCAGCTCTTTATTAGACCAATCAGGTGCCTTAGGCAGGCAAGGTGAAACAAATGCAGCACATTGTTACATAATTAATCACACACCCTTGCATCATTAAACAAATGGACAACAAACAAATGTAACACAGTTAAAGTAATATTCCAAAACATAAACGTGTAAAATGTCTTTGCCTAGTTAAAATAATATTCCACAACAGAGAGATATAGGTAGGGAGGGAGGGAGAGAGAGAGAGAGAGAGAGAGAGAGAGAGAGAGAGAGAGAGAGAACAAAAGTCACTGAAGTTATTCAAGGGTTGACAAGATGGCAAGGAGAGGAAAGGCACTTGCTGTACAAGCCTGGTGACCTGAGGTTGACTTTGGGGAGGCACATGTTGGAAGGAGAGAAACTGACTCACGCCAAGTTATTCTCTGACCTCAACATGCACCCACCCAAAGTAAAATGTAATTTTAAACTTAAAAATTTTTTAAAATTCAAGAGCTTTAACTTTCCAAGGAGCCCCCCCTTTTTTTTAGATTAATTCACCATCTGCAAATGCAGATGTGAAACACAGCACTAAATTATGTTGAAATCATGTGAGCTGTGGAAAAAGAGCTGATCCCTCTGTCTTACATAGTCTTTTACTTTAGTCTCAGAACCAGTAGCTTTTAGTCAAGGGAACGCTTTGTTTTTATTATGTCTCTTTCAGTTAATAGAAAGTTCATTTTCTCTTCACTCTGAAGAAGGCAGTACTTTTAGGGCCTTGGTAAATATGTTCTGGGAACATATTTACTTAACTGTAACAAACATTGACTATCTCCCCGGAAAGCACTAGGGTTATTTGGACATGAATCCAACCCATGGGCATTCAAGCTATATGAAGCCCACACAGGGAACTACAATAAATCCTAAAACTCCCATCCTAATGGAGCATGATGGGCTGAATTGTAAGTGATCGGGCATTTTTTGCAACACAAACAATATATTAGAGACATACCCTGAGGAAATACTCCAGGGACTAGAGCACAGCAAAACAACAAAAACAAAAACAAAAACCACAAAAGATGAGGAAGGAGTATCAACTTCCCTGAACATATTTCTATAAACAATATAATCGCCTCCCTGAGCATTACAATGAGAAGGTTAAGGGTCCTTAGTTATTTGTGTGTATATGTGTATGGTATATGTATGCATGTGCGCTCGTGTGTGTGTGTGTGTGTGTGTGTGTGTGTGTGTGTGTGTGTGTGTGTGTACACTTGCTTGTGTGGACGTAAGTGGAGGCCAGAGACGTCAGGATGTCTTCCTCAGTCATTCCACCTTATTTTTTGAGATGGAGTCTTTCACTGAGTCTGAAGCTTGCCATTTCTGTGAGCCAGCCCCTGGGATCTGACAGCCTCCTGACACCCCAAGTGCTGAAGTGACTGACAGCTTTTCCGTAGGTTCTGGGGATCCACACCCAGGTCCTCACATTTACACATAAACACTTTGCTCACTGAGCTATCTCCCAAACATAAAAGTTTTTATTTATTAACGGCTGATTGTGTGCCACATTCTTAAACATCCCATTTTAATTAGCTAAATAGGTAAGACAAAATTCATTTGAAGAGACCTTGTTTTGTTTGTTTGTTTGTTTGTTTGTAGCCTGACTCATGTGTAGCTTATAGTAGTCCATATGAAATTTGGGCATCTCCATGTGTACAATTGAGATGGAGTATCTAATTTTTCTTTTGCAAATGTTCAATACATTTCCTGATAACATTTATTACCCTTCTGTAATTTTTTTGAGAGTTAAATATTTATTTAGCACAGGAATGGCTCACGGGTGGCTGTGCCTCTGTGGAAGTCAGAGGACAGCTTGCAGGAGTCTGTAGTGTGCTCTCTCTTTACACCACATGGGTTTCAGGGATTGAACTCAGCGTGTAGGCTCAGCAGCAAGTGCTCTGCACTCACTGAGACATCTTATGGACCCCGCCCTTCAGATTTAAATTACCTTATTCATCATATCCATGTATTAAGAGGATTGATTTCTAGACCACATATTCTGGTTGATTGATCTATATGTCCTCTTCAGTAACCACCTGAGATTAATCCCAGTGCTAAAGCTTTATGATGTGATTTCACATCATATAGTAACTAATAGATATATATATTACATATGTAATATATATCTATTACTTACTATAAGTATAGTAAGATATATGCTGATTGTGATTTACTATAATTGTTTGCTAAATCCTTTCACATATTTTCTCTTTTAATTTTAGAATCATTTTTATTAAAAATTCTAGTATCATTTTAGTTAGGTTGATGTAAGGTTATATAATTACAAAATAAAAAGTGTTTCTTTTACAATTTTGAGTCTTTGTCAACTCAAGAAAAAGCTGTTGATCTTTTCCTTTTCTATGAGTGCTAATATTTGTTGTTTATAGTATTATTTTGTAATTTTCTTGTTGTTGCTATTTAAAAGGAGGGGTTTTCCTTTTATATTTTCTTATACATATCATAAGGAGTACTTTTGGGGGGTTTGAGTGTGTGTTTATGGGTGCCTGTGTGCATTTGTGTGTGCGTGTACGTGTGTGTCTGTGCTGGTGCTGAGGACTCAGCCCCATGAACCCCAGGCCTCGGTGTCCTAGGCAAATGCCTGCCTGAACACTGAACTGAGGCTTCTCTCCAGCCTCATTTCTGCATAGTAATCTTGTATTTTGACGTTTTAGCAGACTCATATCTCAGTAGTTTTAGTTTATTTAGTTTATTGAGCCTTTTAATAATCTGTGTAAGTTATCTACATGGGTCTGCTTTAAAATGTGTTGTTTTTTTTTTTTTGGTTTTTTGAGACAGGGTTTCTCTGTGTAGCTTTGCGCCTTTCCTGGGACTCACTTGGTAGCACAGGCTGGCCTCAAACTCACAGAGATCCGCCTGGCTCTGCCTCCCGAGTGCTGGGATTAAAGGCGTGCACCACCACTGCCCGGCTAAAATGTGTGTTTTTAATTGATTTTTTTCTGAGTTTTTTTTAGGACCTTCAGTATATGGTGAATGTTAGTGAGCAGAAATCCTTAGTTTCATGGGAATTTCCTGGTATTTTCCCTGTAAGAATGTTGGCTATAGGTTCTTGGTAAATGCCATATATGTACACATTTTATACACACACACACACACACACACACACATATATATATATATATATATATATATAGTGGAAATTTCTATTTATTTAGCAGTAAGTGCATTTTTTTTGCATCCATTGGGATAACGATAGTCTACTTTTGTTCTTTTTTCAGGTTGAGTTCTATTTTCAGGATGATCTAAGAAATCCTGACCATTCTTTCCAGAGAAGTCCTGTTTTGACTTTCCCCAGTTTCCACGGCTCTTACTTAAAGAGCGTCACTGAAACAGTGCTACGTTGAAGTCATTGGGGGAAGGGGTACCCATGCTGACATGTATGCCACATTGTTCAACACCATGACGGATCATCTGGTTTCCTTGGACTCCACTCAGACTGAAGATACAACCAACTCTGGTGCGGCCCATTGCACCTTGACCCCGGTCCCTAGCTGGGGGAAAAGTCCCCAACTGTGCGACTGTAAGGTTGAGCTTCAGGTCAGTTGAACTCTTCGCAGTTCTCACGTGACTGCAGCCCTGCGGATGCACTATCTCCAGCAGCACATCTGCTGCAGCCGCTGGCTGCTGTTGGAGAAGGCTGCCGGCCTCCTTCGCTGTGCATCCTGATTGTGCTGACTTCCTTCTGTAACGTCAAGATAAGGAAAATTTCTTGATTTATCAAATGTCTCTGTCTGGCCTCGCAGTCATTTGGATCTTATTTAATGACATTTATCAACATGGTAGGTGTGAGATCTTTTAATCTAATGACTGCTAAAATACTTTTTAAAAGAAAAACATCAAATGATTCTCTCGTTGCTGGAATATATCTATAAGCTATGTTATTTTAATTTTTCATACTGATGGTAGAACCAAATGTATTTAGAAATGGCATAATGCAGCTTACTTCTCAGCTGGAAGTTCACTATGAAAAAGATAGATTTCTTCAATAATATGTTTTAAAAAAATTAAACACTGGACATAGTTTTCACTTTTTATCCACAAATACACCAATGATTAAGGGTATCATTTAATGATGTAAAACCGTGATGTAAAAATGGAAAGGTATAAGAACAAAGTATTCGTTCATTCTTTATAATTTTGGGAGGGGAAAAAAATCCTTCCTAAAACCAAATCCCAAATCCAGGAGCGGATAACAATTTTTTTTTTTAAAAAAGGAGAAGCAACATAATACTGGAAGAGAAGATGCTATAAACACATCTAGGGTGAATGAGAAACTGGACCGGCACGATTGAAATTCAGTTCATAGCAGGATCGCTATTCTAAAAGCCCCCAGTATAATACCACAAAGGCTCTGAGAAACTGAGGGGAACTAGCAACCTGAAAAACACTAATGGGCACATGAGAGGGAACAGAGGGGTCCCGCTCTGCTCAATGTGCACGCCTTCACTCTAAGCAGGAAGAACACACTGTGTGGCCAGTTCAGAAGAGCTCCCCACAGTCTGGCTGGGGTCAGAGGGCAAATGGAGAGGGCTCCATGACGGGCACTGGGAGGAGGTCTGAGGAAATGGCAGTTTGCATCCCACTTCTGAGTTTTTTCCCCCCTTAAAAATCTATCTGTTTCTGTATAAAACGCCATACTTTCGAGATTATTATGTTACTGTTAAATATTTAGAAGTGGATGGGGTGGTAGAGAGAATTCAGATGTCTATCAAAGAGAACTGTTAAAATGTAGTAAGACCAGAAGGTGGAATAGTAGACTATTATGAAAAGAGGCCAAAACTTTCTTTGTATGGGCATCGAGAGAGCTTCAGGACCACTGTAAAGCGAAAAGCAGGGCGAAGACGCAGGGTCCAGTATGACTCTCAATGCGGTGGATAGGGAGTAATTGTCAGCACAGTGGTTCCTTGGATCTGCAGACCTACCACTCTCTGGAGTTAGGTCCAAATCATTTTCAAACACCATAAAAAAATGTATCGATCAGTCTTGTCTACTTTCCAAACTATAGACACATTAGGTTAAAAAAAAATTCTGGAATAAAGATTACCTTGAGTAGACTCGAAATTAATGTCTTAGCTACTTTTCTCATTGCTTCGACAAAACACTTGGCGGAACCAACTTCAGGGCGGGAGAGGGAGGAGAGTGCACTTTAGCCCACAGTTCAGAGGGTACCATCCACTGCGGTGTGGGGGAGCAAACGTGTGGAAACTCTGCCGGTGGCAGGAGCTTGCAGCGGGACTCGTTCGCATCTTGATGGATCAGGACACACAATACAAAAGCAGATATTACACACAATACAAAAGCAGATATTACCTTCACAGCCTGCCCCATCTCTTCCCCAGCATCCCACTTAGGCTAGCTAAATCACACATCTCAATGGTCTCACAGCCTCTTAAAACAGCGCCACCACGCGGGGAGGAGGTATTCCAACACACAAGCTCGTTTTCCTTCCAATTAGAGCCTTCTGTGGTTTACACATACATGTGTCATCATGAATGCCGTTTAGGTCAGGCTGTGAAGAAATGAATAAGCAGTGCCCAGCAAGTCTAAGGAAACAGACCACAACTGCTGGCATTTCGAGGCTTCTTTCCAGAAAGAAGTTTACAAAAATAAAAAGAGAGTCAAAAGTCTAGTTCCCAAATGTCAAAATTAAGCTTTGTTTTCCCCCTTCTGAGTTAAGAGTAAGACAGCTAATAAATATAAGGCCTAGATAACACTAAAGAATGAAGTGAGAATTTTATTTCTGTTTAACTAATATATAGACCTATGAAACACAGGTTTGTGGTCATTGTTGTATGTGGCCAGGCACCAGATGCTTGGTCACAAAGACAACTGAATGAGGAAAAATGGCACTTAGAACAGCACAAAAACACATGACATTTGCTGCTTATAAAATATTTTTTTACTTGCATAAATATTTCTGAGCCATGGTGTCCCACTGAAAAAACATTGAGCTGTTTTTCCCTAAAGTCGTGTTTCATTTGCACAAACTAACCACAGTTTCATCTGAGATTCTCCATATGACTAGTGAAGCGTAACTCTGAGGTTATGATTTAGGGGAATATCTGTGGCCTTAGAGGGCATGCTGCTGACTGGATCCATTCACTACCATGAGTATAAATGTACTCTTGTGTAACTGCTAACCAGCTCAGTGCGCCTCCTTCCTTCCTTTCTTGGGGGTGGTGGTGGTGTTTTGAGACAAGGTCCTGTTCCGTAGGGCTGCCTACCTAGGTACTTACTATGTAGACCAGGCTAGCCTTAAAACTCATGGCAATCCTCCTGCCTCTGCCTCCTGAGTGTTAGGGTTATAGGCATCTACTACCACACTTGCCTCTATTTTGTTGTTGGTAGTGGTGTTCTTTTTTATTATTTATTTATTTATTTATTTATTTATTTATTTATTTATTTATTTATTTATTGTGTGTGTGTGTGTGTGTGTGTGTGTGTGTGTGTGTGTGTGTGTGTGTTTTGAGACAGGGTTTCTCTGTGTAGTTTTGGTGACTGTCCTGGATCTCACTCTGTAGACCAGGCTAGCCTCGAACTCAGAGATTCGCCAGCTTCAGCCTCCCAAGTGCTAGGATTGAAGGCATGCGCCACCACCGCCCAGCTTGCCTCTATTTTTTTATAGGCAGGGACAGGGAGAGTATCTGTGTATACGTGCATGAGTATGTTTGGAGGGAGTGATGCACACTCGCGTGTGTGTGCGTGCATGTGTGTGTGCCTGACTGCGTGTTTGCTCACACATGTGTACAGGCCAGAGGCCAGTCTGAAGTGTCACACTGAAAGTACTGTCCACTTTTTTTTTTGAGATATGATCTCTTAATAGTCTAGAACTTGTCAAATAGGCTAAGCTGGCTGTGCTGTCAATGATCTGCCTCTCTCCACCTCTCCAGCATTGTTGCTACGGGTACCCGTCCCATGCCTAGATTTCTAAAATGTGGGTTCTGGGAATCAATTTCAGGTCCCTGTGCTTGCCAGGCAAACATTTTTCCAATGGAACTATCTCCCTAGACCTGTTTTTCCTCTTTTAATTTATGTTTCAAGATTATTCATTTAACTATAATCATATGAAAAACCATATGTTTTTTAAATATCCAGTATGCTTACATCATTAATCTAAAAAATTTTTTTTTGCATTGGCTTGTTGAAATATACCCCAACCCATCACCGTGTCAGTGTTTATTAAATCCTTGTAATAGTTCAGCCTGGAATGTCCTCCACAGGCTTGTCTTTCAAATATGAGGTCCCCAGTTGGTGGCACTATTTTAGAATTTTTACTTTTGGGTGTGGGAGCTGACTGGAAGATATGGGTCATGGTGGGTGGGTCCTTTATGGTCATGTTCCTTTGAGTCCAGTCAATCTTTCTTGTTTCCAGATCAGCCAAGACGGGAAGAACCTTCATGACACACCCTTCTATTGTGAATTATTCCATGCTCTCCCCACAATGATAAATCAAAACTATCAGCCAAAATAAGCCATTCCTCCCTTAAATTTCTCTGCTAGTTTTTTGCCAACAATAAGAAAAATGATTAATATAATCTTACATAATAATTCTATCTCTTTACCAAGATATAACCTCCTGATTCTTGTATACGTAGTTCATTCTTACTATCTTCATAGATCTCTTTCTCCAGCAAGCCTTCTAGTCTTCCCTCTGTATCAGAGACAGATAGGGTAACACATCATTGCTCTTTTCCTTCAGGGGGTCCTTAAAGATCAGTATGCTCAACATGGAGAATGTTGGTATACTGTGTGCATATCAAGAAATAAAGTGCAAACGATTCCATTAAAGTTGTAAGGTATCTCCACTGTCCGGGAAAGAATAAGCTGGACAAATATGTGTGAACTGCAAAGCACAAATTGTGCAGTCTTAGTAATTCTGCCTCAGAAGGCAGTATTCTTAAATTTACCTGTAATGATGGCTGTGCACAAAAGGAAGGCACGTGGCAGTATCTGTGCCTATGGTTGCAAACTTGAATTCTTTCTTTACTTGGCATAACACTCAATAGGAAACTTAAAAGGCCCCCAAAAGGAAAGAAAAGGCCTTATGTTTAATGCCTTTTGTAGCATTTGCTTTGACTGCTTTTTGAACAGGGAGTCCTACTGCCTTTTTGTTTGGCACTGGGCCTTATGAATCATGTCACATTTTAAATAATGATACAATAGCATCCTCGGACACCTGAAAGGATCAATATCTGTCTGAATGCCAAATGGATAGAAATATGATACATTGGTCTATTGATTGATTAATAGATGGTGATGATATAGATGATAGATAGATTGATAGATGATAGATTGATTGATAGATGATAGGTAGATAGATAGATAGATAGATAGATAGATAGATAGATAGATAGATGATAAATAGATAGATAGATAGATTGATTAATAGATGGTGATGATATAAATGATAGATTGATAAATGATAGATAGATTGATTGATGATTGATAGATGATAGGTAGATAGATAGATAGATAGATAGATAGATAGATAGATAGATAGATAGATGATAGATAGATGATAAATAGAAAGGAAGATGATAGATGATAGATAGATTGATTGATTTATTGATTGATTGATAGATAGATAGATAGATAGATAGATAGATGATAGATAGATAGATAGATGATAGATAGATAGATAGATAGATAGATAGACAGACAGACAGATGATAGATAGATAGAAAGATGATAGATGATAGATAGATTGATTGATAGATGATAGATAGATAGATAGATAGATAGATGATAGATAGATAGTTAGATAGATAGATGATAGATAGATAGATAGATAGATAGATAGATAGATAGATAGATAGATAGATAGATAGATACTGTTCATTCACTTTGTTAAAGCAGCCCCAGGGAAAGCATGTCTGAACTGTACCTAGCACACCACTCCCTTATAATCTGCTCACTAGAACTCACTGCCTTTACAGTGTTGTAGTGTTTTGGACTAAGAAGGTTCCATGTTTTTCAGTACTGCACCTGCGCAGGGTTTTCGGGGCTCTGGGGCGTTTTATCACGAGCTCACAGGGTGCTCAGTGACCTTTAAGGGAGGATCAGGTGGTTCCTCTGTTCTTCACACCTGGGAAGGAAAGACCTGCTTATGAAATGTAACAAATGTTTCCTGGGTTGAAGCCAATTTGTTCTTGATCTTCATTTGATCTTTATTTTGACTAATCCTTTTCTCTTTGTGTGATTTCCTTTTGTTGATATGCCAAAATTCTGCCAACCTGTTTCCTTTCTCAAAGGAAAAAAATACCCTTGTTTCTGTTCAGTTTAATTTAGTATTCAGCCCTCTTTGCCAAGAGTAAATTAAATTCCCTCTGCCCCCAAACCAACCCCTATTCAGGTCAGAGGCATATCTTGGAAATGTCTTGACAATGGTTCACCTATATGCATTGTGACTTTAGCTTTTAAGGAGAGTCATATGTTGGCCTTGATGGATGTGTTTAATGGGAGGGAGACAGGATTTTCTTTCCAGTTATTCATTCTCCCAAATAAGAGGTTGTTATGAATGACCTCATATTTAATGTCACTGTGATCAACTGCCCAGGTAACAGGCAACATATGTAACTTTACTTTGAACTACCCAATTAGTCAGGATGCCTTTTGGCCTAATTCAGGAGCATGGCGCAGGACTTGGTTGGTTTACTCGGCCTGGCAATGTGGCATCGTAGGAATTTGTGCACTCTGCTAGGTGGGGGCACGCCACTAGCAAGTCCAAGGTCTGCAGAGTTGTACCGAAGTGCGAAAGGAATCCTTTGCAGATTCGGTTTTCTTCAGAGGCTCGGGCAGGGCAAGCCAAAGTGCCAATCAGCACCGCCAGCTCAGCACTTTCAGCCTGCAAACTTTGCTTCCAAAAACCTCCCTTTGAGCCTGAGTTTGCAAGATGTTCATAGCTCCTGAGTTTCACTTTGAGTGTCAAGTTCAAACAACCAAAAAGAAACTCAAAGCAAAGCCTGCCTTGGACCCTTTGAGTTTCAGCTGGCTTCTACCTGAAAGAACGACCCCAGTGTTCTCTTGAAATATTGCCCAGGTTCCCATGCAATTCAACTCAAATCCAGTTCAGCGGTGTTGATAGGTTTACCAATCCCATGAAAGGGGCTGTGAACCTTTCTTTGGTCTTTAGTTATCTAAGGATGACTTCCAAAGTATCCAACAGACTTAAACAGGACTGTTAGGACCTGGTGAAGAACCTATGTTATCCTTGGAATGTGTAAGTTATATCCTGGAAAAATCACAAATCACAGAAAAATCAGCCGCAAGAGAACAGTTAT